AAAAAAAAAAAAAAAAATTAAGATGTTTTTGTTACCCATAAGCAGAGAATAATCCCGATAATTCATGGGGTTTGCCTTAGGTAAATCTTTGACTTCATTAAAAATTTTACTCTTACCAAATTTTGCAGCCTGTTGTGTTAAAGTCTAAACAAATCCTATATTATGTCGAGTAAAAAAGTAAAACAAAACTACACATTTCCCGTGCAAAAGTACTTAGAGCCAATTATTAATGTCTAAAGTATAGTGCTTTTAACTGTATATAAATTGAACTGTATATAATTATGGAAGATGTTACGGTTTCGTTACGAAAATATTCCATCGAGATTTGTAACCGTTAGATCAGTTGTATCTGACGGTTACATGATGATCTAACGGTTACAAACCCCGACGGAATAGTTCCAAAACAGGACCTTAGCATTTTGCTTATAATTATTATTAGTGAATTGGATATTCGATAATTTCGAACTGAATATGCGCATATTCGGATACTGTTTTGAATACTATACAATACACACTATTCTTATTTGAATTCGAATTAATTTTACGAATACAAATCAAGAATCGAAATATTGAGCTACATTAATAGTTTATAGTTCATATATCATTAATTGATTGAATAATAAAAAGATTTGATATAATTAATAAAATTAAATATGTTGGGTTTGTATTCGGCGTGAAGGTCACATTTTTCCTGGTATTTGACTCTCACAACTTATCTGTCAGGTTATATTTAAACATTACAAATCATGTGCATTTAAAAGAGTCAACCCCGCAGGAACAAAGTATATTTCTTGGTTAATTAAATCAAAGATTATGGTACAGTTAATTTTTATTAATTGGATTATTAATTAGTCGGTCGCATTATTGTGGGCGGTTGTTAATTTATTTAACCATATACATTAATTATATTCGGTCTGTCTAATAAATTTCACACTAATTGGGAGATTAATTGGGAGATTATTTTAGATAATTAAGATTGCTGCTCAGTAATGGTGGTTAATTAAGCAAGTAATAATTATTAATTAATTATTACATGTCCAATTTATCTGAGTTTGCTTTAAAAAGAAATGTTTTTGTAAAAAATAAAATAAAATAAATACTTATATACGTAACTTGCCTAATTGAAAGGCAATTACATAAACAAATTATTAACTTAACCTACTGTGCAACTCAATAATTATTTATTAACTTTAAAATTATAACTTTTTTTATAAAATAAATTATAAAAGTTAGCATACAATATTTCAATTTAATTAGTTATCATATTTACAATATTTTAATATTATTTATGTAACTGTAAATTGTATAAGAAAATACAAACCAAAAAAAAAAAAAATATATAGTTTACTTTGTGAAAATATTATAAAATCAGTTAACTGTATAATTAGATTTAACTAAATTATGCACCAATCATATAAACAAAATCAGGCACTCAATGTATAATACATACTAATTATAAGGAGTGAAATTTTGATTTCTCAAAATTTCTAAATTATTATCACTAATGATCATAATTGGAATTTTGGATGAACTCTATCTTAGCCAGCGCGTGTGCATGTTATTATATCAAATAAAAATTTCAAGTGCAAATGCAATCGTGTTTTGATTCTCTTGACACGCCACAACTTTTAATTAGAACAAAAATAAAATAAAATATAGACAACGCTTTAAATAAAGATAAAGGAATAATTTTAATTTTAGTCCGTTTATTTGTCTAAAGTCATTTTTTGGTACACAAACTTTTCTTTCATCAATAATAGTACGTTATTTGTAATTTGTATCATTTTTGGGACATTACTCATGAAAAACAGTACATTATGTTACAATTTGTATAATTTTTAGGACAATAGTCCCAAAAGATAATGAATAATTTCCGCGATAACGTCCCAATAGTTATACAAATTACAATTAGTGTACCAAAAAAAAAAGACTTTAGACAAATAAATTGACGAAAATTGAATATTTGCGTAAAGATAAATATACTTTTAGTCAAGTCTAACGATAATGTTGCTATAACTGTTTTTTTTTTTATAGATATGCTTAATTTCACAATTAAGACCATCTTGACTCATCTGAAACGTTTTATTCTAGTGCAGAGTTTGATCTACTTCATAATAGATATAATGTCAAAATTTAACTTTCACCCTAGTAGTTCGCACTATATTTTATTGTTCATGAAGTATATTAGTACCAAAAAATTAAATCACAATAAAATTAAAATCTAAAATTATTTGATAAAATAAATAATTTTATTAATGTATACTTTGTGAAAATGACATATATAAATTCAAAAAAAATAAAATAAAATTGTAACGTGATATTGTTCATGTCATCAGAATAGTCCGAAAATATAGCTCAATTTCGGAGCGATTACATTTCCGCACACGTCTGAAGTAAAGTTACAATCTATAGTAGCATTGGACTTACTCGAAATGCCAAACTCTAAAAACCAATACAAACAAAAATATGACTATAAGTATTTATTTTTATTAAAAAAAAATAGTTACGACGGGTCGACTCGACTAACTATGACTATAAGTATTTATTTTTGTTAAAAAAAAATAGTTACGACGGGTCGACTCGACTAACGTTTACGCCATGAAATAACATAAATTAGTTAATTATTAAATTGATTTGTGGTAGACTAGTGAGAGACAAGGCTCCATTGGGTCCGCATGAGTGTTCCAGCAACAATCTACTCCTGAGATCTCCTTGAAACCTCTACACTCATTCCACGAACTCCGCTGGAAATAACCAACCACGTGCATTCCCCATTTAATTTTTTTTTTCTTGTTTATTTAATTATTAAAAATTTCTACCTACTTATAATTTTGCATGGATCTGGCCAATAAAATAAATAAATAATTAAAAAAGTTATACACAAAATAAAAAGTCTTCTGATAGTACATGAAAGTAACCGGGGAAAAACAGGTGAGGTCCCATTAGCATAAAACGCACCATAAGCGGAGAAAGCTTACATGAAGCCTAAATAGAGTTTCATCCCAAAACCAATTGGTTGAAGGTGGAGTAGTCTATTAGACTTATAAGGTGGGTCTACTTTTCATGCACGGTCACCAATAGAACCGACTCTGATACCATTAGTCGAATGAAGTGTAGCTCATTAGACTTATAAGGTGAGTCTATTTTCCAATAGAATCGACTCTGATACTATGAAAGAAACTGGGGGAAAACAGGTGCAATCCCACTAACATGAAACGCACCATAAGCGGGGAAAGCTCATATGAAGCACAAGTGAGATTTCATCCCAAAACCAATTGGTGGAAAGAGGAGTAACTCATTAGACTTATAATGTGGGTGTCTATTTTCCATGTATGAACGATGAGGGACAACTCACAGTACCTAAGTAAAAGGGAATGTATGTTTTTTATTATATTTTTTTTTTTTTTTT